CACTGAGGTATCCTCCTTCGTACTGTTATTACTAGCAGTGATCTGCACGCAGCCCAGTCAGACCGCACTCACACATCCTTTTCTCTTCGGGGCATCCCTTGATATTCAATTATGGACCACATTTCTTTGTGATAAATGTGCTGGGGTAGTTAAGTGAGGGGGGGGGAATTGGGAAAGAGCAAGTGTGTCAGCGGTTTTGTTCTGTTTGCACTTCTCTTTTGCAAGGGCTACTCGTTGATGGGACATCCTGTGACAACTATAGAGTCAAACCTAATGAGGAAACGCACAGGTGGTGATCTCTGTCCAAATTTACTGAAATTCCATAACTACTCCCTTTCCTCGTAACCACTTTTTCAGAGATAAATCCTGTCTACTACAGAGTAGGTAACACTTTGCGGTGCCTTTCCTCGGGTGGTAATGGCTACCCGGCATGCCCTTCCTCCCCTCTTCTTGATGAATTCTGGAGAGACCATCAGTTCTTCGGGGCAGGGTCAGAGTCAACCAGTTTTTGTGTTCTCCCCTCATGCTAATCAATATCTTGACAGTAGATACCCCCAAAATTACTGTGAATAAGTGAATTGATAACGGAATTGTAAACCTGCTCCAAATTCCTTCACAAAAACATATTCCCTAGAGAAAGAATATGGGCTTCAGATTAATCTGTAAAATGAATACCAGTGAGTTGTGAAGATTGTAATGATATACGTGAAAACCTTATGGTTCTGTGCAGCACATACTGAAACTAATTCATGATAGATCCTTATCTTTCTTACAAAAAAAGCCTTCACTCTGCCAATCCTGTGCGCCACGTACTAGAATATCTCAAGGGACCTGCAGGGACCTTCCTTTTAGAGATCTCCTGCTTGAATAGATACCCCACCAGTGGCAGGAGGGGCAAATATGGAGCACAGGTGCATAGTACGGGATGTTCTTGCCACTTAGTAAGTTGGGATGATGTACATAGAAGAGTGAAATGGACTGAGGGCAAGTCAAAGACAGGACTTGGAATTAAGATAAGGGAGTAGAGGCACGGCTCACCCATCACTAAGGGTGCTAGTGGCTGAAATTGTGGGACTGCATTTTCCAACTCAGCTCCATACAGAATCCTAACACAGTTACCCAAAGTCCTAAAGAAGAGGGCTATTACAAATTATCCCAACCATAGCCAAGTTGCTTTTAGCTTTTTGTTTATTAATAGAGGAGTTGTGTTATACATATAGCTCGAATAAACTTCATAAATGATCTTCAGTACAGGTTTTCTTTGCTGCATAACTGGATAGGTGTGAAAGAAAAACGAAAAACAAAAACAAAACCCCCATGGTGTGGAAGGCTTAGCCGAACCTATCTTTGGAAATAGAATTAAACATGTTACTTGGACTAAACAGAAGCTCATGTAAATTATAGCTAAAGCAGCTGCAAGTTAACTAGAGAATGTGAGAATCTACTGTTTGATGTTCCTACCATCCTTTGTGCAAAAAAAAAAAAAAAAAAATTCAGTCTAGTTCTTTAAATTATTTGGATTTTTCTGCCAACGTGAAGGGAAATAGAGATATTAGTCAAGTACTAAAAACACTGCCTTAGCAGCTATTTTGACATACTTTGGTTTACATTTAAATAAGCAGTAGGTAGCCCGCATATTAAATTCCTTGATCTGTCTTAGAATATTAGGCTCCCTTACCTCTGTAAGTGGTGTTATAACATACTGCCTTCTATTCACATTTTTTGCTAAATTAGTGATTTTTTGTAATTATGATCAGAGTTAAGTCAATCAAACAGATTATAAAACCACTGTTAATGTTTACTTATAGATAACTGAATATGATAGACTTTATATCAAGAACGTCTAGGATCTATGATGCACCAAACTGCTGATAAATGACACCAATCAAAAGTCAGTGGCAAAAAAACAAAAAAGTCAGTGGCAGACAGAAGGGGTGGTGTTTCCACAAAACGGAAAAAATTTAAACATAACTAGTGTGTGTGGAGAGAGGTTCTTCTTCGAATATGAAGATATTTGTGCCAGATCCCATGCCATGGCTGGGTACTGGACATAAATAATTATCCCATTCTTGCCAGGCAACTTACAGTGCCAAGTCTTCTTTTTGTCCAAAAAGCCAGCCAATCAAATGTCTAATATTGCGGGTTTAGGCTGAGTGTGTATGAGTTGTTGTGCCATCTGCCTAAAACTCGTGCCTTTCTGGGTTTCTAAAGATTAAATTTAAGTATAATCATAGATTTATCTTCTTTCTCCTGAACAGATTCTCCCATTTCCTTCCTTTCTGGAATTGTCATTACAGTACATTCATCTCTGGATATGGCCTATTTCATCCTAAGTGAGTAATTTGCATTATTTCAAACTTTTGAAAACTAGATCAACATTACCACTACATTTATGTTACTTCTGTTAGCAAAACGGACACATTCTTTCAAAATTTCAACATTTAAATGATATTATTTTAATAAAAGCTTTATTTCCAGTTGGGCCTAAGTTTGGGGAAGTTAATGAGGAAAGGAATTGATTTTATGGAAAAGATATTTTTTAAAGTGTTTCCTTTGGAAGTGTCACACAGTGATAATCGTTGCTTTAATTATTTTCAAGGCGATCAGAATAAAAATAAGTGTAGAGTCTATTCACATTTCTTCCCAGGATAACACCCTAGGAATGTAGGACTTAGACGTTCTGAGATTATAATTGAGATTATAAGGCAGGGGCTCCCAAGCATGAACAAATGGACGCATATGCAACGGCTGGGCCGTCCCTCACCCGTGTAAAAACATTGCTCAGAAATAGAACCTGTGAATAGAATTCTCCGCCAGCTAAGTTTCCCTTGGGGTGGGAGTGGATGAGTGGACAAGGAAATTCACCTTGACCTTGCTATGTTGTAAAAGTTAAGATACACTGTGAAGACCATCTTAAGTGTGTTCCTTTCTTTAGCTATAAATAAGATATTCCCATATTGTTCCCATATCCATTCACAAAACTGCTCTTTCTTTTCCATTTTCTCCCCCCGCAAGCTGCTCCACATACTCACCCTGGCTCTCTTCTGCCTGTGGGCATGTTTCCGTACAAAGTTAAAGGAAAGGCAGTGGTACAGTTTCTGTCTTCTCTGCTGTTACTTGCACACATTTGTAATTCTTACCTTGATCAGGCCTAATATTACTTGCAAACCAGAGCCTTTTTATTTGATCTGATTTAAGATCACACATCCTGGGAATTGAAAGCAAACACCGAGACTCTGACCAATAATGGAAACAGTGTTGTCATCCATGTAGAAATGTTACATGCTTGTTGATAACCCTGAGATAGGACGAATAATCTTCCTTGAGAATAATAGTGTGGATTCAGGTCTTCAGTTGCCCTCTCAACTTGTATTAATAGGATTTTCATTCATTTTGACACTGTAAAGAGAAAGCAGGGAAAGCTACGAGAGGAAGCAGATGCGGGGGGGCGGGGGGGGAGTGGTCAGTCTGCTTTCACCGCTGTAATGGAAGAAAAATGACAGCCCAGTTAGCTTTAGCTGGAATGTAACATATCCACAGCTTTATCACCCTGAAGGCACATTTTGACATAATAACAAACTAGTGAGAAAGAACCACTTTTATCTAGGTCAGAATGACAGACTCCCAAGTGTTAGAGCATGGGCAACGGGCAGGGCGCATGGAAACTACAGTCTGAAGCATTAGGAAGAAGGCTGCAGCCTGTACAGAGATTTTCATCAGGTCTCCACACTGCCTAATAGTTTTCATCCAATACCTTGTAATTACTCCTCTGGCGTCTAATGGCATAGCATTTTGATTTCAGAGCCTACCAAAATAAAATGAACCATACTTTATGACGACTATATTTATAATAAGATGCAGATGGTAAAGGAAACAGATGCCTCTGACATCATCTCCCATTCGCCTTCAACTTTTGCCGACACTGGCAGTCTGTGGACTCATTCAAAGGGATGCAAGATAAGTCAGGCAGTTTTCCAATTCTGTTTCCAGTCTAAAAAAAACACTGGCAGCAGTGGCACTGCTTTCTTTGAGTCATACAGTGATAATTCCACAAGAAGAAATCTGATTCTAAGGCTGTGTCAGGCTTTGATGCAAAATGAATCATCAGGACAGAAAAAAAAAAAAAATTCCCACAAATATCTGGAGTTTAGCCATTAGTAACTACTGACTGTTTTGCGTGACAGCGACAGAAAGAAAAGGGTGGGAGTGGTGATGGTGAACAGCTACAGCTTCAAGGAAGCAAGAAAGAGGGTGTTTTTAAAAGACAAGCAGGTCTAAAATACTGTACCGGTCCTTGGCAGCCACTGTTCCAAGACTGATTCTTTATTACTTCTAAATAAAAAAACTTTGAGGATTTTCAGGTCATTGTTTCTGACCTCAAAAAAAAAAAAAAAATCCATTCTGTATTTCCATCTATATTTTCCAGAAGGGATCCTATAATTCTGATAGGAGTTTTCTCCATTTCCCCAGTGATATCAGTGAACATTATACACAGTAAAAGGATTTGTGTGTGTGTGTGTGTGTGTGTGTGTGCGCGCACGCGTGCAAGATAAATGCATTAGGACACCTTCTGAAAAAGATAAGGAACTTTTGCAGTCCATCTTGAAAGCAACAGACGCTTGGGTAAAGCAGCAACTGCAAGACCTTTAGCAGTGTGTGAGGTTCGAGATAGATCAGCACAGTTACGGGTGAAGGAGAGAGTTAGACAAAAACCTTTAAAATCTTTCTACCTCCCCTGACCACTGTAATATAACTTCATCTACACCTCTGCAGCAGAAACATTTTAGCACAAAAAATTCAGAAACAAAGGCAAGGAAAAGTGGTGACATAAAAATGAATCCTGCTAGGCCAAACAGGGTGCTTATTTTTAAATAATCTCTCTGTGCAAGTAGCAAACTGATCACTCACACACAGACACACACAGACACACACACAGTACAAGAATATACAAACTCTTCTAATTCATATCCACAAATTGGGTTGGAAATTATTAGTGCAAATTTCTGCTGACCTGCAGCATTTAGTCCATAAACTTTGGATATCCTAGACGATCCATCAGTGTCCAGCAGATGTTTTCAATCAGTTTAATTTCATCTCTAGGCAAGTTCTGTTTCCAAACATTAGTATTAGTTGGTGATATTTCCCCTTCATAGGGAAGATAGAAAAGGTTCGTGGAGGTGGCAAACAATATTTGGTTTAAACTAGCAGGAGACAAAGGAATTCCAAGAAAGGCAAAAATCCTTTCAGTGGTTTTCTGAGGAAAATGCACAATATCTTCAAACTTGATCATCTGGTAGCTGGTAGGCAGCAGGTCTGTGTTTATCCTCAAGGCTGCTGCGGTGTTTGCTAGCCACACATGAGCCAGCAGGGACACTGCGTGTGGCTTGGATTTTGATAATTCTTTCCTCAATGATTCATACTCGGAAGCATAGCCCGAATTTAAGTTACATTTGCCTTTACCTCCCTCTATTTTAAACAATTTAGCTAAGTGCTCTGGTACATTCCTCAAAGAGTAAAGACTTGGTTTACTACTGTACAGCATCGAATAAATCCACGCCCGAGGGTCCCTCACCACGTACAAGGCCCTCATCGAAGCTCCTAAAACTTCGTGGAAGAAATGCAGCTTTAAGGTCCAGCTCCCACTGTTCAGGCTGAGCACGGGCCGTGCGCTAGGGTAATGGACCAGGTGTCTCCTCAGAGCCCGAATGTATTCAGCGTCTCTATCAAAGGCGCCTTTCATTCTGCTTCTTTGTTCTGGCAAAGACTCTCTCCTTTTCAACTTCCTTTTTTTGTCCTTATTCGTGGTAAAATATGGGGCCAGTTTACCCCTGCCGGGTTCGTGCAGATGGATGTTTTGCAAATGGAGTTTTGTGTCTTGGACCAAGGACTGCAACCAGCCTCGGAGTAAACGGAAATGCACACCGTGGACATCTGACGCCTTCCATTCACAGGCATCCACAAAGGAGTCGATCTCAAAGTCAGTTTCAGGGATGTCAATGTAGGCTGTGGGAACCCTGATGTACAGAAAGTCACTGCTGTTGAAGAAGAGCTGTTTGAGAATTTCAGCTCCTGAGCCAGGAAGTGAGGTAATGACGATGTCAGGAAGATCGATGCGGTGCCCTTGGGGAGACACAGGCTTCGCGCTCGCTTCGGCCTCCGGCCTCGCCCACTTTGCACAGATGGGCTGAGTGCAAGTGCTCCACACATCCACCAGCTCAACGAACCACAAGGCAATAACAAGGGTGAGGATCCACCGCATTAGCTTTCTAAAAGAAAGGTAAAACCGCCACTGAAAAGTTAAGATCACCAAGCTGATGCACAAAATCAACCCAACTGCTACATTAAATTTAAATCCAAAGGGAAAAATCACTCTGTCACGTCTTACGGGCTTCACTATGGCTTGAGTGCCCAAACCAAATCGGGTTATTTGGACCTGATCAGCCACACTGGCAAAGCCGCCAAATCCCAGGTAATCGAACCTTGTTTTCAAGTTATGGTAGTCAGTTACAATGGAAACAACGTGTTCAGTATTATTGACATTGAGAGAAATCTGAAGTCCAGAATTGGAATTATCAATAAATCTGCAGCTGGAAACATTGACATATGGCCCATAAAAGACATATACGATTCTTGTGATTGTGGATTCCATCTGAAATGTAACATTAACAAATTGAGTCCACCGTTTCTTAAATTCAGCGGCTTGCTCTGCTTCCTGTATACTAGCAATGGGGCTACTGCCACGATGATCAAACCAAAACATTTTGTAATGTGCATCCCACACATCCATCATGGCGCCGTTATACCTGTTCATGAACCTATATGGGACGTACTTAAAATCAATATCCAGATTATGGAAGAAGGCACTGACAGATTTTATTGGGGAATCTTCTTGCCTCTCGACGTGATCAACAACTAGCAGAGTCTGAGAGTTTAAGAGAAGCAAAGCCCGATACACACTTTTCAGCTTCATTGCTGAGGAATAAGCTGACACAGCTTCCCCACTCACAAATACCATGTCCCCGTGTTGAGAGGCAGTAATGATTTCCCCCGCTGCATCACCAGCCTCCTCGCCGGTCCACTTAAGCCACTGTGCACATTCTCCCAGCTGACCTTCCCAGGGCTTATTACATTGGCTCGTGGGTGATGGCGCAAACACCAGTACGTTGTTAAGGTGGCTCAACTTGGGTCCATAGAGAGCTTCGGAAACAAATACCTGCCCATTGGGGGCAAAAGTAAATGAGTTCTGATCTGGATGTTCATGTCCTGGGTTAAAGCTTCTCCACCCATCAATCCAGGAGTATGGCTGGAAGTGAACTATGTCATAGACAGCTCGCCCTCCTAGCTTCCCAGATTTAAAAGACACAAAGGTATTGGTCTGTGTGTTTGGCAACCCAGCCCCATAAGTGACAACACCCCAGTTAGGGAACGTGTGCATTTTTGCAGTACCATATTCCGCAGGAGGCCGTGGGGCGAGCTGGGGATCATACCAGATGTATTCAGTGTGAAGAGTACTCCACCTCTGGGCAGTGGAGGGGACCATTGGTCCATCTTTAGGCCGGTGCCTTCTGATTTGCTGAGCTAACCAATTGCCAGCTCCATTCTTTAAGACGAACTTATCCAGAAAAACTAACTGGCTCTCGGGACCATAAAACCAATTATAATTGGAATCTGCTATACCCACAGTTCTTTGGAAGCCTGGCAAAAGGGTGGCGTAATAGAACCAAAAGTGCATTTTTAACCAGTTATTATCCAAGTTGTTAATATTAAAATGGCGCTGGGCCAGAAAAACGTACTGTGTGACTGACTTAGCCGTGTAGCTCCCGTAGGCAACACCTTCATCCAAAGTACCATCGACAATATGATTCAACAGAAACATCATCTTTTCCATCACATCTACTACAACCTGTTTCCATAGATTTACTTTGGATCCTTTATCCACCCCAGTCACCAAGGCCCCGGTGAGTAACGCTATCATATTAGTAGCTTGGTGGTTATGAAGAAGTTGTTTGCCCCACGAGCGGACCTTGGAATACTCATACATTTCCTCAGTAATAACCCAGATTTTTTCTAGGTATTTTTGCCTTCGATGATCATCCAATAAGTTATATAAAAAGTCAAAGGCAGTGGCAAAACCTGTTAAGGAATGGCCAACTGGAACCTCATCCCCTGGTGCATTCTCCACCAGCCAGTCTTTGTAGCCCACCATCCTGTCCATATATTCCAAAACAAATTCAAAGGCAACTTTGTCTTCCGGGCATAACAAACAGTACAGTGCTAAAGGGGGCAGATTGTTACCATAAATTTCATTCCACTTGGCAGCAAAATCAGCATGCTTGGGTGGAGGTAGGTAGTATGTTGGGTTGGACAGCATAACCGTCACTGCACTTCTGATAGCTCTAAAAAGATGCAGATGGCTTGTGCGAGACTTTTGCCTCATTGCTTGGATCTCTCCAGCATCAAAATATAAATGTGGATGAAGCATACTTTTCTTCAGCTTTTGGTTGGGTCTGAAATCTTGCACTTTCTGTGTCTTAAGCTGATCTATGTCATCTCGGAAAACTGCCCAGTCAGAGTAATTGCTCACAGATTCTTCAAAAGTAGAGAAAGCAAACATCACTAACAGTAAAAATAAGAAATGTCCTGTAAACATTAACGCCATGATCCATCGGGGAACTCCTTTCCTTAGGCATACATGTCAAACACAGTGCTCAATGTGTTTCCCATCTGCTGAGTATAAAACATACATTTAAGGCCTTGATAAAACACAGACTGTAAATCGGATATGCTGTGAAATCCAGCTGACATTCGGCTCATTCAAAGCAAGTACAGTTGCCAAAAAGAGAAAACTTACACTGTGGATCTGTTTGCCTGATGCAGTGTTGCTTCCAATAAAACTTCAAGGAATGTTAAAACCTCTCATTTTCCAATATCACACAGCGAACAGGGGTGGAGATAGTCAAAAATACCATGAATTCACAATTTACTTCCTTGACATAAATCTACCTAACACAAAGAGTCAAAAAACACACATTGTAGAAAAAAGAAGAAGAAAAAGCACTCCAAAATCCATGTTAAGAAGTCATTCCTGGAGCAGGAAACCATCACCAGTGGTACGATCATCATACATGTCTGATGCCTTTGCCTGTGTGTGCTCAGAGAAGCTGACAAAGTACTGCAATTCTTGGAGCTGACTGGGTTGTTACTGCTCTCAGCTTTTTACACTTTTTACTTTGAGAATTTTTTCTTCCTCCATTTTTGGGGAAAAAACATCCTCAAAAGTATTCAAAGTCCTACTTGGTTTTAAAACACTCAAGATTCCTGTCCTCATTTCACATCTGTCTTTTTTCAGGCTTACTTACTCATCAGCCTATTATGACCCAGAGAAAGCATTTTCCCATCTTCTTTTATCAGCTTCATCGGTACAGCTATGAAAATCTAATCTCTTCAGCCACCTAGGTACTTCTCTTCCAATCATGAAGTAACCACCAACTGGGAAAGAAAACTCCCCTTTCACCAACAGTGACGTGTCTTTTCTGTTCCTTTTTCATGACATACTCCTTTCTGGGGGAAAAACAAAACAGAAATTCTCTGAGGCTACAAGTATGCTGGGAGTGGACATAAACAGAAGATTTAAATGTTCTAACGTCTCCTGATAGAAATTTTAGAATCACAATAAGATCTGTTATTAACTACAATCTAAGTTAGACCAAATGATTCTTTTTTCTTATACTTTCCAACGCACATATTAGGATAACAATGGTGGCAGAAGACAAGCGGCTACAAGATGTAACTTTCCTAAGAGTATTTATTTTAACTGTGGCTTGCTTTAGTCATTTAAAATGTTTTTATTCAAATGCAGTTAACAGAAGATGAGTCCTACTGTCATTCTTGTTTTGATCACAGAAGACTCAGAGACAAAAAGCAAAAGTTTAAAGGACCATTATGATTCCGGTTGAGGGTTTAACGTTCAAGGGCTCAGAAGGTGTCTTTGCCAGGGTAACTAGTAAGAGCAGTCACTTTTCTCGAAGGAGAAATCATGACAGTGTGTGGGAGCGAGGAACACCGAGCGGTCCTGCACCAGTCTCTCTCCCGTAGCCCGGTTTTCCATCCTTACAAGAAGCCACCAGAGGGAGCTCAGACCCACACTCAAGGAGCAGCTTCGCGGCTGCCCGTCTTCGGTTCTCAAGAACCTAACCAAGTTTCAGTCTTGGACAAGTCTCCTCTCTGCAGAAAACATGAACGCTAGGAGTTCCCTGATCCGCTCCGCCTGTTGCATTTTTTCATTCGCTTCCTACGAACGTGCCAACTCCATCCTCTGCTCCTCACCCCCGACCTCTGGCTGTGGTTTGGGGATAAGAGACCCCTCAAGGGCCAAGTCCACTTACCTTGGCAGGTCCGGACGGGGTCTCCCGGCAGCGGTGGGCCCGGAGGAGACGGAGGCGGAGAGTTGGAGAAAACTGCTCTGCGCTGGGAGCCGGGCCGCGCGACTACCCGCAGGGCTCCTGGCGCCCCCGGCCCGGCGCCCCCCCGCACTGCAACAGGCTGCGGCCCCGCGCTCGCGCCCCGGCCGGCGCCGCGCGGACACGCCCGCCCTCGGGGAACGCCGGACGCCCCCCGGGCAGCCCCGGACCGCGGAAGGCAGATCCGCGCGCCGCGGGCGCGCTCGTGGACGCCGTGTCCAGAGGGGCGCTGGCGTGTCCAGAACGCGTTGCCTCCGCGGCCGCCGCTCCTCGGTGCCAGCTCCGGCCGCGCGGCCCAGGGAGGGCGAGAGAAGGCTAGGCGGGCCGGGGGCGGGGCGGGAACGACGGGGGCGGGATCAGGGGCGGGGCCTCGGGGCCTCGGGGCCTTGGGGCTTCGGGGCTGGGGGAGAGGGACAACAGGCTCAGGCTGGGGGTCGGG